CAGAGTAATCAAATTCATATCGATAGAAAGTAGAATCTTTGTGGGGAGAAGAGAATAGGGAGTTAATGTTTAATGTACTGTTTCAGTTAAGGAAGATCAAAAAGTTCTAGAGCTAGATGGTGGCAATGGTCATACAACAATGTGAATGTACTTAATGCCACAGAACTATACACTTAAAAATGGTTAAAATGGTACATTTTATGTTATGTATATTTAACCACAATTTTAGAAGACGAAGTCATATACTTACCCTTCATATTATGAGGTTCTCAGTTTTATTTAAATTCTATGGAAAATATCGATTTTGTTTTTTAGCAGGAATTTGACCAAAGTAGACTCAGGCTTCAAATTCCAACCAGCCTTCTATGGGTTGCAGTTCCAAGGCCAGTTCCGTTTTCAGAGCCATTGTAGTAATATTTGGATCTGTCCCACTATGCACCACACAGTGGTCAGTTTGAGTATTGGCTGGTGGTCTACCCCACAGCATATTTACCAAAGTCTACTCATGTAAGGCCAGCTCCCTGCATGTGTACAGCAGAGGTGAGCCCAGGAAGTCACAACTTTAAGGGTCACCTTCCCAAAGATTTTCCATTTTTGTGCCTCCCCAGAACATTCCAGCCTTCCCTTGTTTCAGTGTCTTGGTTGCCCATGCTCTTCCCTGTACTCACTATGGTGTGCTCACATCAGCGCCAAATGGTGGGAGAATAAATGGAGATTATAAAAACCCAATGAACACCAAGCTTTCCTTCCTGCCTTGTCGAGTTTTGGCCACTGGTGAGTTCCCACTGCTGCTGCTCTACTCTAGCCATAGAGTTGCTCAGGTTTGAGGCACACACAAGAAAATGGAGTAGAAGAAAGAAGAATAGAGAATTTCTTCCACTGACCCTGAAAATTCTGTTTACTCCCCACAACTTGACTAGAAGGCTTCCTCTGCAGAGGGCTCTCTGGTCATGTCCTGATGCCTACTTAGGGGATTTGGGTTTTAGTAAGTTCAAATCAAAGCATACTGAAGGAGAAAGTGGCAAAGTTCTGCCATTTCAGAGACCTGTTGGCTTTTGATCTTCTTCCTCAATATTTCTGTGCTATTTACTTTCCAGAGCCCTCCATAGTGCTGCATGCATCTATCCAAGTTTCATAGCTGCATTCAGAGGGAGAGATATGATGCATCAAGCTAACCCCACTTGACTCTGACTGTGAACCTACTCTGCATAATCTTAAGGCTGGCTCTGACTTTGGGCTTCACAAAAGGGTTCCCTCTACTCTCCTAACATGTTCCCCTTCACTCACTGATTTATCCCTTTAATAAGAATTGAACACCTACTATGCTACATAAATTATACGCAAGACAAACACCCTGTCTTTAAGGGTTTCAATCACAATTCCCATGAGAGACACCTTTCCTAATTTCACTCCTCAGCTAGCTTCTCCCTCTGCTCATGCTCTGAGCGGGTGCATGAAAACGAGTGGTCTTTTGTAACCTTGCAAAGGGGAGTTGGCTTGTGCCTGAAACCATCCTTCCTTTCCAGCTCTCAGGGTGAGGCCCAGGGCTTTGGAAAGGGTCATATTTTCAAACACACAAGTTTGTGGTTTCTGAAAGAACAGACAGCATAAAAGCATAATATCTTGCAGGATTACTTTCTGCTGAAGACCAATTGATGCGACATCTGAAAATAATCAAATAAGTGTCTTGTTTTCAGCCTGCAAATGACTTTGGGAAAGTTTAGAAGGAAATTCTCCACTTAAGAAAAAAAAAATTGAAATGGAGATCATGGGGAAGAACAAAGATGGGAAATTATGAGAGTGCTTTGAATTGTTAATAGCATTTATATTTGTAAAAATGAATCTCTCTAAAAACCTGGAAGTGGCCTAATAATTTTAAATCACCTCATATAGCACATGCCCCCAAACCTGATAACCTCCAAATTCAATTGCTTATAACCATTTTTTGGAGCGTTCCAAAAACTTGAAATTGCTACACAATGCACAGAACTCTGGGTTTAAAATTGCTAAAGCCCTTATATATATATATTTTTTTTCCTTCAAGTTCTTACATTTAGAAAGAAATGAAGGTACAGTCTAACCCCAGAGGATCAAAACATATTGAACTTTATATTTGTATATATAGATGGTATCATCCAAGAAAGCAAGAATCGAAGTGAACATTATGATGAAGAGAGTGAAAAAGGGCAAAGAAAAGGTGGAGGTGGCACACAGGGCCATCCCAAACTGGAAGGAGAGGCTGCACCTGAAGACGGACAGGCTTCGGGCCAAGGTAAGGCCAATCAGGGCAGGTGGGTGGTGATGGCCCCTAAAATTGCCTGCCATCAGACCTGGGTGCAAGCAAGGAGGGACTTGAGTAGGGGAAAGTGTGCCCCTTGCCTTGTGGTTGAGGGGCAAATGGGAGTTTCTACAGCATTTCATTAACATACAAGTCAAGTGCTGCTTATAGCCAGTGGGGGTGACAGACAGTTTTGCTTTGTGAATTTCTGGTTTCTAATGATGCATTCGAGCTTTATTTTTTACAGCTGTCCTTGTCTTAATCCTTTACTTTTTTCTCCCTGGGGTTTAATCATTTCTAGTGACATACCAGCGTCTTAAGCAGTGTGTCACCCGTCAGGCAGCATGGCTTCTGATGGTTATGGCATTTGGGTCACCACTAGTTCTCTGGAAGGACAAGGGCTCCTGTGAACAGCACAGGATTGGAACACGGCAGTGCAGGTTGAGGGCGCACGCTAGACATTCAACCAAATGCCTTTTGCAAACAGCAGCTCAATGAGGATCCCTGCCACGAGGCAAAATGCTTGGAAAGTTACTATGTGCTGGCATCACTGGGTTTGGGGTCAGCATGCTGAAACCGGGACTCATTATGTTCCTACCATGCCAACTTGGTGCAATTAGCCTAACACGATAATTTCCTGAAGCCATATGTTGATCTTTAGGGGAGGGAAGCCTTCATATGCCTGATGGCTCTCAGCTCTGACTGGCATGTCCCGGCTTTGAGCACATTTTTGTCAATCAAGATAACGCACAGCAATCAAAGATGAGGTAGAGCAGGCAGCCGAGACAGAGTCAGGAAACAGAGGACTGTGCTCCTGTCGCAGAGTTGTGGTTTTTTTTCTTCCTTTTCCTTCCAAGGAAAGTTTCAGAGGAAGGTCAAGGCAGTGCCCCTGTGTGCAAGGCTGCCTCCCCCGCCCCTGCCCTCCCACACAAATACAATCAATGGAGGGACCTAGAACATGATAAGTTATGTTCCAGGGCTGTGTGGCCTGTATTCCCATTGGAGACCTATCAATGTGAACTAGTACTGTTGGGAAATCTCTTCAGCTACCCCTCTTAATCAATACCTCTGTTCATTATACATCTCTGATGAATATGGGTAATGATTGGGTGTCCGTGAGTCAGCTGACTAAAAATAACTGTGCCTTCCTGAGGATCGATAGATTTTCCCCCAGTTACTTCAGGCAATTCAATATTCTCAGCCCCCTCCCCAACCCCCCACCACTGTGATCCTCCCTGGTCTCCATTGATAGATCAGCTTCATTCTCAGAGCAGCTTTATTAAATTAGTAGCACTTAATCTACTGTCATATTGTCAACTGACTCGGAGCAAGCTAGCAGGCAGCAAGTCTTTCCCGTGGCTTGGGAGAGCAACTGGCCACGACCCAGGCAGTTTTGATTAGCTTTGTGCCAAAAGCTGTCTTCAAGGGTGCCTCTCTGCTAAACAGGAGGATTTCCATCATTTAATAACACTTTAAACAACTTTTTTTTTTTTAAGGAGAAGAAGGAGTTGTTTGAGGGAGAATTCTTGCCAATTACAGACGTGTTATGACAGATGAAAAGATCATAATTATCCTTGGATTCCCTGTAGGAGTGCGTTAACACATCCGTGACATTTAATAACCACATGCCTCAACAGAGGCTGACTTCCCCAAAGTTGCTTTAACCTTTCATTTCTTTACCTTCACCCCCAAATCTGTCTATGGTGCCTTGAGAAATCAAGGAGGGAGACCCTGGCAAGATATGGTCAGGCCCCCTGATACCTTGGGAGGGTCCCTTGGTCAGGGATATCTCCACATGCGTAGCTCCTTACTGGGCTGGAGGTATAGGAGGATCAGGCTTTCTAGAAGTCTGAGCCTGCAGGTTGCCACAGAGTCTGGGGGTGCTCATGGCTTGGAATATAGGTCTGAGGAAAGTGCAGAAGTGGGTGGTTTGATCCAGGAAGAGTTGGGCAAATCTGGCTCTGGGGATGGAGAACAGAAAACAGGGAGGTTGCAGCACAAGTTACAGTCTTTGTAACCAGGATTGGTGTAAGAGGTGAGGTTAACATTAAACACTGCTGAAATCAAAAGCACCTCTTGTATGCTTCTTCCTCATGCAGTATAATAGGAAGAGGATATGTCGCCGAACATGACATCTTTCCATCTGCTTGTTTTATTTCTAGATTATAACAAGCACAATCTGCAGAAAACCACTACCAAGAGAGTATGAACTGAAAGACAAGCATTTAGTCTGAAGAAATATAGAGTCATCATCCTGGTGGCTGCTGTCCACACAATTGGAAGGGTGGGGGAGGGATGGAAATTTATTTGGAGGAAGCTGAAGTGCAGACACCCATGTTCTTCCTTTAGTTTTCCTTTTCTCACAAAAGCAGGGTCAAAGGCTTTGGGCATAGGTATTCTGGAAGGATGTAAAAAGGCATACCCAGAAGGACAGGCTTGGTGAGGAAAAGATTTGGGCAGTGCTTGCTGGGATCCGTTGGGGTTGGCTCAGATCTTTGAAACTCTAGGCCAGCTTTGCCATCTGAGCAAAAGATGAGCTGGTCTTCCTAAGGAGTCTATTAAATAGCACCATTTTCAGTCCAAACAGTAGACTGGCTTTGAATTTACTAACAAGTGCATGCTTAAATAGGGTGAATTACACGTTGAAGTGTTATTGGGTGTATTTGTACAGTTATAACTGGAGTTTGTTGAGATTTCTTCAAACCGAAAAAGTAAAAAGAGATCAGTGACTGATAAATCTTTAATATAAAAATTGTACAAGAATTTTGATACAAATTACAAGAGGTATTTGGACAAAATATGAATAAAATTCCATTTACATCCCCAAACCCTTATGCATTTTATGCAAAAGACATACTGTAGACAGTTATAGTACAGAAAATACACAAAGGAAATAGCAAATAAAAAACTTTAATTACCTCAGACTACTAATAAAAACAACAACAACAACAAAAAATAAAACAAAATGAAACAAAAATAAAACCCCCACTTAAAATTCATACAGTATTTACGAAGCTACCGACGTCACGATTATTAGATCAGGGCAATGTGAGCTGTCCCCAGCCCTTGGTGCAGTCAGCTTTCATGGTCAGACTTTGGTTCTGCTGCAAGTGTAGCAGAAAAGGCTGGCTTGACACAGATGAGAACAGAAAAGACAAGACAGGGCCAAACCCCTAAATTTGTGGGGAGTGAGAGGACACATCTGGGTGAAAATTTCTTTTCCTCAAGATGTCTCAATATGCCCTTTGGACATTTTCATTGTCAAATATGCAGGCCGGGTCAAATGTTTTGTTACTGAAGATGCACCTGTGGGTTTGGGGTGAATAAGAAAGTTGTGCGTTCTCTCAGCTCTCTGAGGGATCTCAGTACATTTTGCAGGACGGTTCCATGATCAGCAGGAGAGAATAGAGAACTTCCTTTTCCAGAGCCCCAGCGTGTACCCTGTTCTACCCTCAAAGAAGCAGAAAAGCAGCAAGGGCTTCATCGATTGAGCCTGGCAAGAGTGTGAGGGAGGCCTCACATGGGAACTACCCACTGGTGCCTCAGTCACCCTCATGCTGCTGAGGGGGCTGCACACTGAAAGGCCAGGTGGCCTCAGACTAAAGTCTTCTCCCAGTTTCTTAACCTTCCTTGCCCCTGACCTCCACATACCCACTCTGAGCTCTCCTGCGCTTTTCCTACCCGTGCTAGCAGGAGAGTGTGAGATTCTCTGCAGGGTGGTTGAACCAAAGTTTGCTCAGGAAAGTGAACGCACCATATTATAATCTTAGATAGTCATATCAGGTTAATATATAATAGGAAAACGTCTCATCCATTGAATTCACGTTATGTAAACCCTGGACAGGGTAGAACCCCCACGTTTCCAAAGTGGTCAGAACCACGATGAAGGAAGGAGTGTTCTACCTTCTTGCTTCAGCAAAGATTTATTTATTTTCCTTACTTTTATTGTTTTGAGGGGAGTGGGTGAGATCAGAAGAGCAAAGGGTGGGAGTGAGAAAGATAATAGGAAAGTCAGAGGAGATTAAGACAGGCAATGAGAGGATTGGATTACTCTGCACAAAGACATAAAGAAACGCTCCAAATTGAGTACTAGATTTAAAAAAAAAAAATAAACAATCAGCCTTGGTTTATACATCTCAAGTGAACCTATTAACTCAGCACATTGTCTGGGAGTTCAAGAGCATCATACCTCATGAATCAATGCTTCTCACGGCTACAGCCCCGATTCAGGGGTGAGGTGGGGGATGCTTTGTCTCCCAGTATGGAAAAGGCAGGCAGCAAGTTCCCACTGAAACAGTGCCAGGTCAGTTCACCTCGCAGGGGGACTACCAAAGAGGCTGGAGTTTTCTCCTCTTTTTTTTTTTTTTTTTGCAAACATTGCCAGGGCCAGATGAGTGGAGCTCTCTCATACATCCAGGGTCTCCCCAGAGTAACCTCTCAAACCTTGCATTCCATAACAGAAGTGGGCAGAGCCTGTTAATAATTTATGGATTTGCCATCTTAGCTGTGCATTATCTCAACATCACATTTGGCAAGAGGAAGCCTTATAAAATCTTGGTATACCACTTAGATTCTCTCTCTTCTTCAAGAAATATACTTTTATACTATCTACTTCTCTCCATTTTTGTCAAAATACCCTTTTCTGTTCTTCCTTTTTTCCTTCAAAGATTGTTTAAAAGAAAGCTAATAAAGCATTAAACTATTAGAAATGTTCCTAGGCATCCCTGTTACTTAAAGGGAGAAAGCTAGCATCAGCTAGTAGAATTTGTGCAATTTTGGCAACTGAGTTTTTAATTAAGATTCAAGGATGTTTGATAAGTGATGTAATATACATATAATGAGGAACATAAAAAAAAACAAGTCAACAAACTGCCTTCTCTCTAACCCAAAGTCCTTGCTCAAAGTGCTTTTCTTTACAGTCCTCCAACGTTTTATGAAATTAGGCAGCTCGTTGGCATAGACTGGTTATGCCATCTATGCCTAAATCCACTGCTTTCTGTCTTTGCAAAAATCCACATTAGAAATGACATCTGCACGTGTCTTATTTGGTTGACAAATATTTTATTTGAAATGTGACTGACTGCTCATAGCAGAGGCCAACTATCTTTTGTCACCTGCTGCTGCAGGGTTAGAAGGAAGCATGTTGTTCCCCAGTTCCATGAGGAAAGTGCATGAATGGGTCTTGCATTTTATTTAGTCACTCACTAGCTACTTTTTCAATTACTAATGAAATAATTCAACACACAGAAACAGCAGCCAATACCAACACAATATTTGGGTTGAAGGTCTTTTGGGATCTAACATTTCTATGTAGACTTCCTGTATACTTTTGGTCCTCTGTCACTTGGATTTCTAAAGCTCACTGTACTTGTACTTACCCAAATTCTCCCAAGTGGAGAATTTACCTTTTTATTTGTGGGTAGTCCTTGGTTGAATAATTAAGGTTAAAAGCATTGCCTTACTTTTTTTAGATTGTCAGTCCAGTTTGAAAAAATGAAGGCTAATCTGTCATGTTACAGTATGGATTTTGAGTCTGTCATTGAAAGATACATATATACATTTAGAATAATGGTTTGATGCCAAAGACTAAAAGAAAAATTCAAAAAAAAATTTTTTTTATCACCATGCATAACCAGTTTGTTCACAACACATGCACTTTTTGAAGGGGTAGATAAATATTTTAATCCTTTCCCTACAGAATGTGGGTCAATCCAATCCTATGTATGCCATTGACTTATAGGAAAAAATTTCTCTAATTATAGGACCACACCCAATACTCCTAAAAGTGGATGGGCGTGGAAATGCAATACTTAAGTTTCCAAAGAAATAGAGATGTCTGTCACAGATAGCATCTCTCTCCTGACCCTTTATTTAAGAAGTCATCTTGTTACTGTCCACTTAATAGCTGGGAGAGGGCATCTGGAGACAGTCTGGAGCTTCCCAAAGACACAGTAGGTGTGCATATGGGCTGCTTGTGTGCTCTGAGGAGAAAGGAGGAACGAGGGAGGGAGGGCTGGGAGAGAGGGACAGAGTGGCAGGAGATGGTTGTGAATGTGTGTGTACATCAGGGGACTTGGTGGGAAAGCCTAGCCCTTGTACTCAATTTCCCCTTCACCAGGGATAAACAGGCAATTACGCATCCTTTTATATTTGATGGCCAAGTGCTGAAGTGGAAAGCACACTATTAGTTTGTGTCCCTTCAGGGCCAGGGCAATAAGTAGCCAGGAGAGCTGGGGCTGAAGCAGAGAGGGTGTTGTCTGCTGTTAGTGTGACAGTCTTGTCAGCAGCATTCACATTACTGGAAGGTAATAAAGTGACAAGTAAGTTATTAGAAAGATATGAGGTGAAATTGAACTGAAGCTTCTCCCTGCTCAGCCCTGGCTTCTTCCTTTCCTCTTTTGTAATGGTCCACTATTTGTTACAAACTGAGCCTTGTCCTGATACCCGATATAAAAAAGATTTTTTTTCCCTTGCAGTAAAGGTCAAATGAATTTACAACAACACTTTGGAGAAGAAGAATAAAGATAGTTTTATGACAACTATAGTGTGTTGCTTCAAAAATATATATAGCATTATAATGAATAATAATGCTGATCCAATTCAGTGTACTTGTAAAATTGCTTAGTTTTTTTTCAAACCCTGTTATTAGGCATTTGGATTTTTCAACAAATGCCCAAAAGATAGTATTTGACATCCAGTTATTGCAAAATGACTGTAAAAAAGCATTTTGTGCAAAATGTGGGAAGAACGAGATGATCAAAGAACCCGAGGGAAGATATGTATTGGGGCAAAAGTGAGGGTCAGTTTTGCAGGTGGATTTACATGAATAATGCTCTTTGACAACTATCATTACAGTGAGCAACTTTCCAACTTCAAGGAAATGCTGAAATGAGTCTGGGACAGATAAAATATGGTCCTAACAGTAACATAAGTAAGCATAGTTTAGCTCTGAGGGAAAACAAAAACAGAGGCTACTTATATTCCTGGTAGGACAGTGAGTGAGCTCCTGTTTTGATCAAATGATCATCAGCCAACTAGTGTTCAAACCACAGCTTTGTGCATTGCTATAGTGGCAAGAAAAAGTAGTGATGAGGGAAGATTCGCGCTGGCACCACTCAGACCTACTGTTCCTCTCATTATGATAAGAAATAGGTCTCACCACTAGTCTTTTTTAGAACCTAGGTGACTGCTTGAATCTTTTTACTCCCCAAGGGACTCTAGCATTACTTCCAACCCAAAACAATTCACAAGTAAACCCAAATCCCCCAGTTGCCCTTGTTGGCTTCCATGACCCCTAAAGAACTTTCCTAGCCCACACAGCTGTCCTTGCTATCCTCATTCCCTTCCCCAGATGTGGTCAGTGACTCGCCTGCTACAGACCATGGCATCTATAATACTGTCACCCACTGCTAGGTACAGCTGTACCAGACTTTCCGCTTACACATTTCCAGTGCAGTAACTATTTTCTTTTCCACCCACCCCAAACTAGGGCAGGTCTCAACCCTCTACTTCATCTTACTTACTTTTTGATGGAAAAGAGTGATGCCTCCAGTCTTTTTGGCATGTGCCTTTTACACACCCTCCTTACTCATTTAGATCCCTCCTGTTAAAAACGAAGAATGAGAGGGAAAAGCAAGACCCCCTAAGACATTCCAAGTTCAAGGGAAGGTGATTTAAAAAAAAAAATAATAAGATCTGTCTAACTTTGAAGAGCTCTTTGGAAAAGGGTGTGCTCGCGATGAGAGCGAATCCCCTAGTGACTCCTGATGGCAGGTGTAGTGTGTCTTGTGACAGTAGATTCTATTTACTATTAGTCAATCTAACCCGATGCAGCAGACCAGACACAAGTTAGGACTGCTCGGGTCAAGCTGTTAGCAGCAGCAACGTGTCCATCTCAATCTGTTTACTAGCTTCTTTATATTGTCATTACCGAGCGCCCCTGGTCTCATTTGCTGGGCACACATCTAGACGTGAACAAAGGAAGTGGGGGAGAAAGGGCACACTTTATTTGGTGGGAAATTAGTTGCAGCTTCTTCTGAGGAAGATGAGGAAGGGTACCTCTGGGCCAGCCTATTCTCCACATTGTCAGAGTTTTCCTGGAGGGCAGGGGAACAATATATACATAAACACGGATTAACCAGTTAAGCACCTTCTTCCTCTTCCTGGAAGGACCTGGAAATTCATGACCAATGAAATCACACTGCAAGGACAGTGGCACCACGGGGCTAAAACAATGTTTGTTTGTTTGTTTTTAAAATGCTTGTCATATTGAAAAGCAAAACATTTACACCATCCAACCTTAAAAAAGCCATCAGACTGAACAGGGCATCTGAGTGAGACCTGAAATGAAGTACATCTGGTTGACTTATTTAACTAGCATGACTGTCAGAACTAAGATGATCAAGCTTTGTATCACATTTTAAAAACCAAATTACTTATTATCTATCCCTTTTCTTCTTCTCTCTTTCTTCCCCCTCCACAGCATGCAGATATTCCCAAAGTGGACCAAGTCTTTCTTGTATTTACAAAAAACATAGTTTAAAATGATAAAAATAGTAAGTTTCAACATCGGCTAGAAAGCATGCACAATAATACTGCCTTAATTTTGTACCTGTGACAAAACTCTGGCTAACATCAACCAAAAGCTGCTTGGATGAAAATGTATATTTCTATTAATTTTCAGCCAGCATAAAATGGATGTAGCAAGAGAGAAACTGTTTAACAAGAAACTCCCATGAAAAAAAGTGGTAGGAATGGGCAAAGAGGAAGAGCTCAATGATTAAAACGCTGATCTCTTTATCCCTTCCATCTGCACATAAGCCTCGGGACCACCACCTTAAGTAGAATTGCAATTCAGTCACAACCCTGCACCCAGGCATACCCAGGAACAAGCCACACGTGGGACTACAGTAATTGTACACTTTAGATTTTACAATTTTATGCACAACATCCATCCACTCCCCTTATCCTTTATAAGCAAACAAGCTTTATATTGGAAAATGCTATTTACTTGTTTTGAAGGCCGCCATAACAATTGGGCACTCGAGGCACAATAGTAGCAGCAAATAGGGGAGATACTTAAAAGTGCCAGCTGCCCCAGGACTTACTGCCATTTCTCTGACAAAGAAAAAAAAAAAAGGTGAACACATTCATGTCAAGTAAGGGAAATTATACTTCTAGAATCACATTACTTTTTTCGAACTGGCTATAGCCATTCACCTGGTTTGTGGGAAGCAACATAAAGTTGTTCTCAGCCTGGTTCATTTGGTGACATGACCTCCAGACAGCTATGTAATTCACTCACTAGGGCTATTTGACTTTTTACTTGACATTAAACTAAACAGACTAAAGGCTGACTTTGTACAGATGAGTTCTAATATCTCAACAAAGAGTGTAACTTTTTAAAAAGTTGCTGAAATTCAAAGGTGTATTAATTCCCATTAAAATAGGTGTAATTTCGTCTATGCACTCCAAAAGCCAGAGTTGCCATAATCTTTTTTTGGGATTCTAAAAATATTTTCCACCCATGTTGAATCTAGTCATTTGGTAATAGGGCAACAACGAAATACACAGAATGCTAAGAGGACCAAAATGTTTGCAAACAAACGTTCATTATTCTGGTTCAATCTTTAACAAACATACTGTACAGAGTCTTATAAGGTATAAAACAAAGGAAAACATCTCTGTCTATTCAATTTAACACAACACCAAAATAAAGCAATTAAGACTTTGGGGAATTCAAAGGTACAAGAAAACAAAAATGGTTATTACTAATTCCTCAGCTTTTTACCGTAAACATTTGTCATTTAACAGACATAGTGTTTGATATAGTTTCTTTTGTACTGCAAATACTTTTGGTCTTTCCTCACTGTAGAACAAATGAAGAATCAAACGAACCCCATAGCATCCTCCCTAGCATCCTCAGAAGGAGGCAAAAAGATAAAGCTCCTAGATATATCTAGCTTATCTTTAAGAATCTATTGTTTCTGAAATTTTCACAAATAAAAATACTGAATCCCCAACGAATGGTGCTTATTTTTGGAAACAATAAATACTGTGAGGTACAATAAATCCTACAGGAATAATAATAACAGAAACATATTAACAGTTTCCTTTGGCAAATTTAACGGAAGTGAATGCTGAAGTGAACACAGAAAAAAATAATTACAGAACATAGGAAAAATGGAAATGACATGAAACATTGAAACGAAGGGTATTTCTAACTTTTAGACAGATGGGAGAAATGTTTGAGGCCATTAAATGCAAAATAAGAAATACATTCTCTTTATATTGTGTATTGTTTGACAAACTATTCCTTGTTTAATGTCACCCCCTCCCCATTTAAAAGAAAGAAAGAAAGAAAGAAAAAAAAGACAACAGTCTGCAGTCCACACTCTTAATAGTTTTGGCTGCGGACTGAACTTGAGTAAATATCATCATTTAGTCAGTATGTTGTGGTAGCTCAGGCTGCCGATGTGGTTAACCAGCTCAGGCAACATGTGTAAACATCGGAAACAGAACAAAACAAAACAAAACAAAACAAAACAAAACAAAACAAAAGTTTGGAGCAGACCCCCCTCCCCACCACCCCCACTCTCTATTGCTTGGTTTCAGGCTTGCTTTCATTTTCTCTGACAAATTTGTGTGGGGAAACAAAACACTACACAGTGAGATCCTATCTCAACCCCCCTTCCTCTGCCTTTCGGAAGGAGTGTTGCTCAATTCAAGTTTAGCATGTGTTCTCAGAGCTTCCAAGTACTGCTGCTGTTAAACAGCCTTTGATTTTGTCTATCAAACAGGCCTGAATCGTAGCACTACTGCAGAATTTGCCACAAATGAGACGGCCATACAACAGACCAATCCAGTTTAGACTGACTTTCTTTAAAAAGGATAAGGGTTAGGGCCTTGGAAAGGAGTGTTCAACTCTATTACTGCATTCAGCTTTGTTCCATAGTGAGTAATTTGGGCTTTTGTATCCTGAAATATTATCCTGCCTCTAAAGAAAAAATGCCTTGGCTGATTCACACCACATAATTTTGTTTTCCTTTTATGTAATTTAACATATAAGCAAGAAGGATGCAATGTTGATTCTAATAACATTCAGCACTTGAAAGAATCACCAAGTGTTTTTTTTCAAAGCGGTTTTCTGGTGGTCGACAAATTGGCCTGTGGTTATGTTGAGTGACTAATTGTATTTTCTTTTCTGGAAACTTGTGCAAAGTTGGCAGTTTTGTGTTAACACTAATACTTTTGTTTGGCATTTGTGCCCTATACTGACCAGACCATTTTTATACAAGTGGATTTTTTAAAAAAGACACTTACTGAAGTATGGCAATAGTTTAAAGTTTAAAAAAAAAAAGAAGCCTGGATATTACACATCCCCTTGTAGTGTATGATAAAAAGTGCATGACTGGATTTACGTACTAGTACAGGACATTTTAAAAAATCAGATCTGTGCTGTAAAGCATGCCAGCACTTCTTTATCACTATATCTAACAGGTAGTAAAAACAAGACCATGTTTTTTTTAAAAAAAATGTGCATTAATGCTAACATAAATGAATAGAGCTAGCCAGCAAACTATTTTTCTCCTGCATATCTAACAGCTGGATGTAACTGTAAAAATTAAACAAAAGAGTTAAACGACCATCAATACAATTGTTTTACATCATTGGCCTCTCAAGGCTAAATATTTACAGGTGAATCTGCCATGCTTTAATTGAAGATTCTCTCAAAACCTTAAAGTTCACAAAAGACAACTATTAGAAGTTCCTTTTTGTTTCTTTTTTCTTTTTTCCCTTTTATTTTTTTGCAGGCAACAGTCATGGGTACAACAAATTGTCTCTTTGGAGAAGACCAAAAATTATTCTATCAAAATTGGGGCTAGTTGCACGCTGTGTGTGTGTGTGTGTGTGTGTGTGTGTGTGTGTGTGTGTGTGTTTAAAGGGGCACTCTGTTTTCACCCCCGAATTAAAGATCCCATCCCTTTCCCAAAACTATAAAGGAAAAAGAAAAAAATTCAAAAGCACCTAGTGTTTATCTTTTTATCTAAAGAAAAGAAAATGTGCGTATGTGTGTGTATGTAGACACAGAGGCATACACATGTGCACACACATATACACCCCCGCCACGTAGGTAAGCGCACACTGACTATGGCAGTTCAAAGATGTAGGCCATCTGGTGAGAGCTGGCATTTGTAGTGTCCGTTCTGGGACTAATCTATTGAAGTGAAGGGAATGTTTTTGTGGAGATTAGGGTTCTGACTGTGCCGGTTTCGGCTTCGCACAGAGGAAAACATCATATTGCAACCAGGGACTTTGCACTTGTGCATCTCTCGCAAATGCACAGTTTTGTAGTGCACCCTCAGTGTCCCCTTGTTGCTGTACATTTTGTGGCAAATGTTGCACATGATCCCACCATTGCTCCCAGACAAGCTGCTGAACATAAGAGATCCTGAAACTTCAGCCCCTAGACTCCCAGGGAGGGTGGGGGCCTCAGCCTTGTGTGCAGACTCCCCACTGTCACTCGCCCCATCAATGTCGTCGAGAAGAATCCCCTCATCGCTGCCTGCATCGGATTCTCTGGAGGAATGGATGCTGCTGCTGGACTGGAGGCTAGAGGTGGTGCTCAGATCAAGGACCATGTAGTCCTCGGCCATGCCTCTCCCATACCCGTTCAGGTGGGAGTCTTCAGTCCCAGCGGGAGAGGAGGCATCTTCCCTGACATCGAGCCCCAAGGGGTGCTGGGCACCATAGATCTTCACTAAAAATTCATCCCGGAGGTCCTTGCTAAGGGAAGGCTGCGACGAGTCCAGGCCCATGTCATCGAGTTCTTTGGTCAACAGTTTACGATGCAGATTTATGTTGGCACTGTGTCTAGGAAAACAAGAGGGAAGGGGGGTAGGTATACAGGGAGCGGGGAGGGTGAGAAAAGGGAGAGCACTTTAAAATAAATTCAGCTTTCACAAGGCATCAAATAAGCACATTCATTCCTAATTACACCATTATAAAAGCAAGCATTTCCCTACATCCTCGGGATTGGGAGTAAGTGGCGGTGGTGGGAGGTGCAATAAGGGTAACTTTCCATTAACGTAATTTTCATGAGAGAGTAAAATTCTTAAATGGTAGGATGAATGCAAACCCATGCACCCTTTTCTAATGATTGTTCTGATACTGTTAATATGTGGCAGCATCAGCTTCAGCGGACCTCACTGCAGAACTTTTAGGAAATATACATTTAAGTAGGATTAGAGAATGGAAACTTTGTGCTTGTCTAAGTGGAAAAGTTTAAATTTACCTAACAAAACAAAACAAAAAGCCCCCTGCTCTTTCTTAATACAGAAAACTCTCCATTTAGAGATATTAAAAAGCACATTTCTTAAAGTAAAATGGTCTAGATAATTTAGGTTTAACTTCAAAAAATAATGAAATCCTGCCCCCCCACCAACTGGGAATTGAGTCAGTGTCTTGGGCATTCTAAGAAAGCACTTCACCACTGAGCTACATCCCCAGCCCTTTTAACAGTTTTATTGTGAGACAGAGTCTTGCAAAGGTTGCCCAAGCTGGCATCAAATTTGCAACCCTCCTGCCTCGGCCTCCTGAGTAGCTGGATTACAGGCTTGTGCCAAAATGCCCAGCCATTCAAATTTTAAATAAGAAAAAATATGGCCCAATAGATTAGTAATTTGAAGTAGACTGTCTTTAGTAACATAAGTCCCTTTTCTCCAATGATCAGGGATCCAGGTTAAATGTAAAGACAGAATGTGCTTGGAAACTGCTACATTTAGTGCTGAATGTTTTTATCAAATAATTCTACTTTAAACTTTAAACTTTTAAAATGAACTACTTTTTAAAATACAACCCACCCACCCTTTAAAAGAAATCACACTAAACAAGAGAAAAAAAACCCAAAAGGACAAAATTAAAAGACAATAAGTACAAAAAAAATTATCAAGCACAACAAGAACATAAAATCCCTCTATTTCAACAACTGGATCCCGCGCTATTTAGACAAGCAAAACTTTTACTCCATTCACTGAGTGTTTTGCTTGTGTAAAAAAAGATAAGATTTGTCCCAAAGCATCCAGAGGGACATCATGATTTACAAAGTCTGATACGTATTATCTCTCTGAAAACAATGTCTTTGTATTTATATCCCCCATTTATTTTTAAAGTGCCCTTGGGCATATACCTCTCTCCACCTGCAAAGGCTCAGATGTTTGACAAGTACCTAAATTGAACACTACCCTTCCAAAAATAAACTGATAAACAGGCAAATAAGGCTTCTCAATGCTGGTGGAAGCTCTACTTCATGGAGAAGTCGTCATGAAAATAGAAATGGCCTAAATGGCCAGCATACAGTTCAAAAGACCTTCTGGTTATAATTAAAAAGTATGGATGATCAAAAGAAGTCACTCCATTTGGTGACAGGCATGACTGACATTTCTGAGATGGTTGAGAGGTATGTGCCACAGAGACAAGAAAGGTGGGACAGCCCTTCTCCACCCTTCCACACAAGACAATATATAGCACTTGGATTTAAGGGCAGAGGGGCAGCAGCCCTCTCCACACTGCACTTGGGAAGGCTGAGCTTACCTTGTGATAATAAGATCAGCTTTCTAATCTTTTGCTAAATCGATCACAAAAGAAAGCAAGAATGAGAGACAGAGAGAGAGAGAGAGAGAGAAAGAGGGAGAAAGAGAGAGAGAGAAAACAAATTCACATTCTAGACATCTGGTTTTAAAAAAAACTTAAACAATAAAATAGGGATTTAAAATGTTCTGATCACAACATTATTTTCTGTCATAAGCGATCATCTCATACGCTGTCTTGATGATTTTCAGATCAGCTGCATAATCCAAAAATCATAAATCAAATTAAGATAAACCAAATTCATAGCATCATCATCATCATCATCCATAAATGAGTTCCGAACAGATGCATGCAGTGTGGGTATGTGAATGATAAACAGAAGTTGTCCCCACGGTCCCAGCTCTGACACAGTCTTCCCTGTTTCCTTGGTGTCAGATGGCAGATGACTCCAAGTGCAGATGCTAAGCAGAGTGCAGGAAATGCCTACTGTGAAGTCTTTACTATGACATGTGGGTAGGGCACCACCAGGGTTATAACAAGAATGTGGGACCAGAGTTACACTGTGTACTATTTTTCTATTGATCCTGCAATCTGCCAACTATAAACAGCTCGTGTATTCCTACCCCCTCCCCATTTATTACTGTTAACACCCTCTGCCTTTCTTAATTTCACAAACACACATTTTGTGATGATTGTAATCTAGAACTCTGTGTTGTTTCTCACACATCTGCAGTTACCACTTCCTAGGTTCACTGCTGAGAAAACAGCAGCCAGACACACAGCAGTCACATCGAGACACACTGAATGAGGAAGAATAAATTAACATTGACAAAGGACACACTGATCACCCAGATGGACACCTCTTTCCTAAGATGACTTGTGAAATTACACATCTCCACCGCTATGTTACCAGGAAGAGATTTTCTCTTCATTTCTCACTTATAGCAGTAGAAATCTGTAATCTAATTAGATGATGTACCAGCCCTCAATATCTGTCAACCAAACGATGTGCAGAAATGTGTGGACCAGCTCTGGCACTCTGCTCAACAGTGTCCCTTTTCCGCTGTCAGCAGTACTGTTGGCCTCTGCTAATATAATTACATTGACTTTTATTCAATTAAGTGCCATCCCTCGCTTAGAAAAAAAAAAAGCTACTTTATCAATTGATTCAGGTGTAATGCAATAATAAAGATGAACTCATGGCAGTGCATTAGCTCTCCTGTTCATAACTTCAGTACACGGGTTCATTCATGGTAGTCGATTTCCATTATGCAACCACAGTTCAAGAGAATTGATTCTTTTATGTTCATTTCTTAATCTATTTCATTTTTGTTTAATAATCCTCCTAAATGCCATATGCAAAACACTTGAAGTGGGGATGGGAAGAGCAGGCTGTGGAAAGCCGGCTGGCTCACTCTCAGGATAGTGGGCCTGGGGATTCTCTAACAAACTCACATAGTACTACTGGAGTGGGGAAAAGGGCAGCCAGGCAAGGAGGGAAAGAGGAGAGTGCTGATCCCTCAACAGGTTAGGATCCAGCCTCCACAGCAAAATGGACAGAAGGAAGGCAGCACTTGACTTTAACATAGACCTATTGTTGGGACTCTCCAGACAGTCAATCCAAACCATTTAACAGTCATAAAATACTGTCCTCAGGAGACCCAAAGACCCAGGGTTAATAGCAATTTGAAGAATATTACCCGTTCATTTGGATCAGCAAAACTGCAGAGGTAAAAAGAAAGGGAAGATGAAAGGAATACAGAAAGAACTCTCACCTACCGACAACCAGATGTAGCCGGAAGGGTATCCTAAAGGGGAAGAGGGGCACAGGGTACTGGGATCAGGGAAGTGTTGGACATGACAACTGGAAAAAGGAATCCATGAAGCAAGCCATTCTGAGTTCTCTAGGGAGAGAGAGTTTTTTTCTACAAATAAATTTAGCATCCTGAATATTTATCTTCAGCAAAGAAGGAGGAATAAGCATCAACAAAAATCTAGACTGAGTTAGAACTTCTTGTATTTTATAAGAATGTGAACAGTATAAAAGCTGTTTCTATTTGCTCTGATTAGGTAGATGACACAGATAAATGGAAGCAAATTCCTCTGGAGGGGGAAAACAAAAGGTTGAGGAGGAGAGAGAAAATGAGTGCATAGGTATAAAGCGTAAAGATTGACAGGACAGTCCAAAATTTAGCTCCAAGAAGGTTACTTTCAAGAATCAGAACTAAGTCAAATCAACCTCGACAGTCCTGAAGATCACATAGAAAATTCTGCACATCCAATATATTTAAAAGCACCTTTATTTGTCTTCAATTCATAAAATGCGTAAGTCTTAAAGAAGCTTTTTCCAGAAAGTGCCCCAGGAGGGAAGAAGACAACAATCTCAAGGAGAAGCATGCTACAGGCAATTTAAGAAAAGACAGTGGTGACAAGGCAAAGGTTAATTCTGGGGCTACTAACACCCCAGTGTGGTACAGAGGAGGCTACACAATTAGGGCAAGAAAAAGCCCTCTAACTTGGGCTATGCTGAATTCTGTATTCTTTTTACACAGTGAGTTTACCAAAAGCCTCAACAGAAGTTAAGATCACAAAAAAAAAAAAGCAAAAAAGTCATAAAGTTTTGAATTGGGTGGGAAAGCGTCAAAACCCAAACTTCTTTTTTTCTCATTTGACATGCTGAGTGAAAGTCCTTTAACTGGACTGCAGTGAATTACCAATCTTTTTTTTTTTTTTAATTGTTTGTTTGCTTCTCTGATGAAAACCTTACCATGCAACCACAGAAAGCATGAGATTCATCAAATGTAGTCAAGTAAATGCAAGAGAGGGAAAGTAAGTACCAATTTTGGACTTCTCTTGGGTCTCTTTTTATCCACTTATTCAAAGGCCTAGTTTGACTTAGTGCAATGTTTCATAAAAACTAAAATTAAAAACGAGAGCGGTTTATTTAAACAAAAAGTGTTTTGAGTTTTTAAATTTGTCTTTGAGATACAGGAAGAGAACTGGGTTTTGTTTTCAAAGTCTCGTTAAGAAATTAGACTGTGGCAGTCAGAAATGGAATAGTGAATCAAGCTATAGCTTAATGAAATGTCCAACACTTAACTCTTAATTCAGTTTTGAGCCACTCTAAACTTAGTGAATTGAAATAAAACACTTGGTAATTAATTATAAGACCTTGGGTAAAATGGAATTGAGGTTCCACTTTGGATCAGATTTTGCCTTTATTTTCCTGCTTGACTCTAACATTCAAAACACACACACACACACACACACACACACAATTTCTC